TCAGAGGTACCTTGACTCTTTGATACTAGCATGGGTAAAACCCAGCAAGTGTAAGTTGACCACTGACATTGCTGGGTGAGATGGGGAGGAGCTTCTTGGTATTAGTCTTCATTCTCTGTCCTTTTTGTTTATGTCTGGTTCCTTTGAGCTCTTTCTCGTGTTGTATCCTCTGATAAGGGCTGGGGGGGAATGAGAGAAGATTTAGTCTATAGTGTTTTTTCCTGAACTTTGCAAGTTGCTGGGTTTTTTCGTCCCAAGTTATATAAGTCCTGCAGATAGTGGAAAACTTAGTGCATCTATTAATATTTTGAATGTAAGGTGTTATGGAATTAGTAGACTTGCCTCACTGTTGCTGAGGAAGCAAAGATTCTTCTAAGGTCTTTGGATGACGAAAAGTATGTACTGGGACTAAACTGCCAATTTAGACAAGAAAAGCAAAGTTAGAGTGAGCTGATGCGATGCAGAACTATTTTCAAATTAAAAAAGGACAAAGCAATAAGACTCATTTGGTTCAACCAGTGAAGAAAGGTAGTGCCTTCAAAATCCTGGAGCAAGGACAGCTCAAGTAGCTAGCATGTAATTCAGTTGAAAATGAGTTTTTAATTCTGAATTTATTCTGTGTTGGTTTCTAGTCATTAACTCTTATGTTACCTTGATGAGAGTGCTGGGTACTAGACACATTGGATATTACTACTTTGCAGCTGCTTAAAAACAATGGATATAGCATTTTCTTGGAAGCTGACTCACTGTACATAATATGGCTTTGGTTTTGTCTCTCATTATGAGGAGTTTGTTCTCTCTACGCAAACAGATTTCTGCTACAAGCTGCCTAGTTGGTAAGCATCTGGTATCCCTCTGTTTAGTTAAAGGTCCTTAGAATAGTTTGGTTTTTCACCACTTTTCACTGTTGATACAGTACAGAAAAGAGAGTTTTTGTTAGACCTCTGCATGCACTCAGGCATTTGCTTCTGGAATTCACTCATAATCCCGACTTTCGTTAAGGAAGAGGTTCTTGTATGATTACTCTTGTATGAGTGTCTTAGTGCTGCTGTATTTCTGCAATTTTCTGCTTCTGACCATGTGCAGGATCCTCTTCCTTCTCATGCTGATACTCAGCTATGTCTCGTGTTGAAAGTTAGGTCATGTGCATATGTTGGGTATGTATTGCTGAGATTAATTTTCTTTTAGTTTAGCTTCTTGAATCACCTTGCTCTATGGGGATATGAGATGATGCAAAAGTTGGAGTAGAAAATACGCGTGGCCGGAGGTGGGCTTACAACAGTTGTCAGTTTAGCTTATCCTAATTTATGGTAAGATTGCACCTTGAGATGTTTCAAAGGAGGTTCTTGTGTAGTTACTAACGTTGGTTCTTGAATACCTGGTGACGTATCTTGTAAATGGAAGTACTGTATTTACTTGGAATGTTATTGCTGATGAAGAGAAGACCACAGAGAAGTCACATAACTGGGACAGTGATCCTAGAGAAAATCCTAAAGCAATCCTAAAGAAAAAAGGTCATGCAATTAAATGTTGACATCAAAACATCTATTATAACTAAATTAAAAGGTCCATCCCCTCTTTTGGATTTTCCCCAAACGCATAGCCTGCTGCAGATGTTTATATGACTCCCTTCACAGTAGTCATTCTGGTTTAATTAAATACCAGCAGTTGCTGACAAGAATATCTGTAGGCACGAGAATACAACAGAAACCAAAACTTTGCATAGTGAAGGTCATGGCAAGGAGTTTGCCAGAAAGCTCCTGAGCAAGTCAGGCTGTTTTTCTGTGCTTTTTGTCACATTTGCAAATTTGCTTAGGGGATAAGAGGACTGCCTAAGCTCATCCACTGTGGTGGTGTTCACTGCTTAATGCTACAGTATCTTATCCACTGCCTGTTTCAAGCATAAGTTTTGATGAACTGCAAAATGACTGAACTATTTTGGGTGAAACATGAGTAATGTCATCACTAGTAAAGAATAGAGTTTGCAGTTGTTTGTCAGGCACTGACGGATTCTGTGTCCAGGAGTTCTTCTATTTGTTCCTTTTCAGATGTGTCAGTAAAATGCATTTTCTTGCAACACAGTTGGGGAAAAATTCAGACTATTGGTAAAGATGGAAGCAATCTGAATTCCAGAAATTTGTTATAATGTCCATAATGAAACATGTTTGAGTTTTCTTGGTTATTTGCTGTTATTTTTCACTTCTTTCTTTTCCCTTTCTCAACCACCTATTTCTGTAGTAAGTTTTAGACAGTTACAAAGACCATGTTTTCCCTTTTATAATCTCTGCTATTATTGTATATACTGTGTACTTCAAGGTACCTTGAAAATTATCCAGAAACTCAATTGTTTTATGGCTGTGTTTCACATGTTGAGACCTGCTTTTTTTATGCACAAATTTCTTGTATTTAGGTTTCGGAACATTTGAATTCTGCAAATTGTTGAAGCATAGAGCTGGTTCCTATTCACTGTTTCAGGCATCCTTGCTATGTTATATAATAAAGAAACCCTTCTGTTTCACCTGATAAAAGAATTAAATACTGCTCTATTTGGATAGCCCTATCAGTAAGTAATTTATATCAACCTGTAGCACAACATTTTTGAGCCCTTGAAAGAGAAGGTGCATGGAACAGTCTACCTGGCTTTACTAAGGGTCAGTCACACTTGACCAATCTGACTGCCTTCTGTCAAATGACTAGGTCTTCAACTGAGGGTAGAGCAGTTCGGATGTTTTTTTTTAACTTTGACCTTAGCAAGACTTTGGTGTCCCACAACATACTCCTATTTACAGTCTGAATGGGAGGATGACTGGACAAGTGAAAAACAGTTGAAGAGTCATTTCAGAGGGTGGCCCATGGTTCATACTCTGGCTGGACAGCAGTTAAACTAGAGCTCCTCAAGGGTCTACTGTGACCTACCCTTACTTTTTTTTTTTTTTTAATATCTTAATTGGTGGCCCAGAGAGAGAGGTGGAATGCACCTTCATCAGTTTGTGGTAGTCACAGAAGTGGGTGGCTCAAATGCAGGTGGCCATCCTGAAATACTCACGCTGGAGGAAGGGGTCTGTCAAAGTCTTAAAATGTTCATCAAGGGCTCATGCCAGGGCTTGCTTCCAGGACTGGTAACTGTGCTGCAGAATGGTAGGGTTGTAGCTTTACTGAGAAGGACCTGGTAGTGGTGAACAGCAGGTTAAAAAGAAGTCAGCAGTTCACCCTGCTAGTCATGAAAACAGCTTCGTTTCCTTTATTTCCTTTTAGTTGGTATTTGTTTCACATTGTCCCAGACTGCGTGTGCAGTACTGTCTCCGGTTTTGCTCCTGTGCTCCATAGCCTCAAGAAGAACAATACTGATAAACTTAGACCAAGTCCACCAATATGATCAGGGAGCTGGAGTATGTGACCTGTGAGAGCCTTTTGTGGCTGTTTACCCTGGAGATGCTTTGGAAGGATGTAGTAGCAACCATCCTGGTATAGGCAAGGATGGATATCGGGAAGATGGAACCGGTCTCTTTACTGAAGTACACAGTGGGAAAACAAGAGACAGTAGCCACAAATTTAAATTGGGAGATATATGTTGAAAAATTTTTACTGCAAAGAGGATTAAGAGATTTTAAGTGATAACCTGTAAGCCTCTGTAGAGGTTTTCAAGACCTGAGTAGATAAAGCCCTAAGCACCTGGGACTGAGGTCAGTGTTGACTGAGAAAGCTTTGAGGAGGAAATGGAGCTGGATGACTTCCTAGGTCCCCTCCACTCTCAGTCGTTCTATGAAGAATCACCCATGGATGGGACTTAAGTAGCAAAACTAACCAATACTTTCTGTTTTATTTCTAAACTTCATTCCTTGTGTGAATGGTGTTTATTTCTAGTGCTCCTGAGTAAAATAGCTTTACCATAATCACTCATGTTGACTGTTTTTGATATTAAGCATTAATATCAAGACTTGGAATCTGCCTACTGAGTAAGCATGGAATAGGCAAGATAAATTCATTGGATGAACTCATGTAATCTAAGAAAGAAAGGAAAAATTCTCTTTTTCAGTGTCAAAAATATATTCTAGTTATAACTATATTATAGTTAACAATATCTCTTGCCTTTGTTATTCTGAACCTTGTGGTAAAACAGAGCAATTTGTAGAGCATTTGAATTTATTGGGGAGGGAGGAGGAAGCAACATGTTGGATAGTGGAACTAAATCTTCGTTTTTCCGATATTGGTTCCCTCCCCTCTTTGTCCAGGCCTGTGAAAAAACCTATTATCTTAGATGCTACGTATTAACATCTCCAAAATGGACAAGGTTTTACATAGATTCTTGCTGCAGAAATTACATATTGGGTGGTTTTAAGTGTGGTAGCCCTTCTCATGGTTTTGTGAAAAGTGCAGCTTCATTAGTCTTTTTTTGTAACCAAGAGAGCTTAGTGAATACTTGTGTGTTTCTGCTTGTGCTTTTAAAAAAATCTGTAGTGGTCAGTAACAGGCTTCTTTGTCATGGTTTCTGTGCTTTTGAATAAGTTGCTATCTCAGCTTGTAGTCTTTCTTTTCCTTTGCATCCAGGATCTGGATATATTCTTGTGAACTATTGCATTAGTATATCAGATTTTTCCATTATTTCTGCACTTAGACATGCATGCATACACATAATTGGATGCAGGTTCTGTCTGTCACGTGGTTTATGTATTACTGGTTAGGAAATGGATTTGGTTACTAGATATCTGTGAAGGGGATATGTATTTACAGTGGGAGTTTTTTGGCATGTAGTGGCCATTGAATTGTTGATATCTTAAATCGCTTCATACTTTCATCTCTAACAAGTGAAAAGCATTCACATGATGTTTTGCTGCATTACCATAGGCAAATAGGAATTTCTTGACTAACTTGGCCTCTTCCAGTGGTTCATTGAGTTTATTAGTTTCAGTTTAGCAGTTGCTATCGAGTTACAGATTTTACTGAAAACTGTCTTGAACTAGGAGACAAATTGGTCAATTCTTCCATCTTACTGCTTTCAGACTCACAGGCTCTTCTGCTTTATTCACCCTTAATATACACGGAAGAGTCTCTAAAGTGAATCTCTATCAGAAAGACAAAGATCTGAAAGAAGTTTTGCTTTTGTACTACATTCAAGGTAAGACTTTCAAAATTGTCCATGATCACATGACAAAAAGCATGAATAGTGAGACCTGCAAAATGGGACTGTTTCTGAGTTCCTGGCTTCTTGCACATTATACTATTCCTGCAGACTATTATGACTGTTTACTAAGTACTAAATACTTTGCTGAAATGTGCTAATGATCAGAGGCATACAAGCTGGCAGTGGCTGTGTTCCTTAACTAAAATGGTCAAGTAGCTTGCTACTTGTGCTTAGTGTTTACTGTGCAGAGCTACCTTTTGGGTAGCATAGGTGTTTCTAATTCTAGAACTGATATACTAAGTTGCATGATACAATATGGAATGTCTTACTAAACTGGCAGTGTTTTAGTAAACTTTTTTATTTACTTTTTGGTCCTGTGCTGAGCTTATTGTAATTCTCTGTGAATGCAGAGAATGAATGCACTGAATGCACTCGAGTGATATTTTGGTCATTTTCAAAACATTGGGAAGTAATTGGGAGTCATAGGGCAGGTTTGCTGCATTTTGGAGGGAATGGTAGATGCGTTTCTTTCAGTAAAGCCATAGCTTCAAGCACATGCACAGGTGGCGCCTGTCTGCACGCTAGAGTGCTGATCAAGTCGTAGGAGCCATTGACATCATTCAGCGGTGATGCCATTGCCTTCAGCTTACATGCACAGTTTGATGGAATGTTATTAATGTTTGGAGAGAGAGAAGACCTTGTAGCAGCCTTCCAGTACCTAAAGCAGGCTGCAAGAAAGCTGGAGAGGGACTTTTGACCAGGGTGTGTTGTGATAGGACAAGGGTAATTACTTTAAACTGCAAGAGTGGGGGTTTAGATTAGATAATAGGAAGAGAAATTGTGGCTGCCCTCTCCCTGGCAGTGTTCCAGGACAGGTTGGATGGGGCTTTGAGCAACCTGGTCTAGTGAAAGGTGTCACTGCCAATGGCAGGTGGGTTGGAACTAGAGGGTCTTTAAGGTTCTTTCCAATCCAAACCAGTAGATGGGATGTTTGAGACATTCCCATGTAGTCACTCAGAAGGATCTAAGAGATATTTTGGGGACTAATGTAGAAATAGCACTTAATATAGGCAGCTGGTTGCCTAATGCTAGCAGTTTTAGGGGGGTGGAAACCTACCGAAATTGGCACTCGTTGTGCTGCATTCAGCACCTATTTGAAGGCTTGGATCAGCAGTTGTCTATTCATGTACCTATTTCTGACTTTTTGTGACTGTCGTTTTGTTTTTTATGTAGCAGGTTTTACTGAACTATTTGTGTAATCCCCAAGCTAAATGTCTTACTTTTCTTTTTAAACTGCTAAATTCATCTGATTCTTTCAGTTGTTGCTCTGCAAAAGCCTGAATACTTAAGAGTATTCCTTTGTGTGCCATGATTATTTAATGGATACCTAGTTTAATCCAGATAGTTTGTTAAACAAGTATAGAATATGTGCAGGGTAAGCTTTATGTGGAGTAAAGCAGTAAGACTGAGATGTGAGTTTTGGAATATAGAAATAATTTTAAAATGTCTTGACGTGTTGTCTCTATAAATGGGATGACAGAGTAGAGTGTTTGCCCCCTTGCTACAGTTAATGTGGTTTTTTTTTAGTACGTCTTTGTGCTGAGATGTTCCCATCACCATTCAGTCCAGCAAGGGCATGTCTTGCAGCCAACAGTGTACAGGAGCAGTAGTAACCTTTGGTGGAGCTGGAGATGGTGTCTTAATCTATGTTATCCAGATTTGCCTGCAGCTGATGTCTGAAATGATGAGTCGCATAAAGCGAATGTTGAATTATTAACATGCTTGCTTTCCCGGAATCCTTTTTGCTGTCAAGCCTGTGTGGACGTATTGCTACTTCATTAACTGCCTGTAATGTCCTTAAGCACCCTCTCTAATAGTGATTTCTTGAAAATTGGCATGGTCTTCTTGCATGTTAGTTTTAACATTCTTATTGACAAAATTGCCCTTTGAATTTTTACAGGTGTAGTTCGACACGTATTGTGATACTTGCATAGTGGCAAAACTAATACAGTTTTTACTCAATAGAGATAGCTGAAAGTTCAGCATTGAAATATATATTGCAAATTGAGAGTTTAAACTGTATTGATTGAAAGTGAATCCAAGTGATTTATTGTGGAACTGAAGTTGCAGTACGAATTGGACAAAACTTTGAGTATTTAGGCTTGAAAGTTGCCAAATGGCTGCTTCTTGCCGAGTACTCCTCTGTTTAGATGACAAGTGAAGCAGTTCAGATAGCCTCAATGCAGACACCTGAAAAAGATTCCATGTGTCCAGGCAACGATACTGGAGCCTGCTGCCAGAAAAAAAAGGTAATGGAAATTTGCTTCACTCTGCAGTTCCTAGAGATAGCAATTTTTTTGATTAGACTTCAGACTTTTTCTTAAAAAGTTTCTCTAGCCTGATGGAGAAGTAGAGCATGCTGTGAAAGAGCAGAGGGGGAGTAGTGTGTTTTCTGAAGTAGTCTGAGAAGTCATCTGTGATCCAAAACCTTACTTTCTATACAGTACTGTGGATTGAATACCATGTGATTACAGGTGTATTGGTTCTCTTACAGTATGGGAGTATATAATTACATATCATGTAGGATCAGCTGCTTGTCTTCAGCATTTGTTTATAACTGCCTTAAAATGCTTTGAGATATGCCTTATTTGACATGAATTAAATCAATTCAACCAGGTTGATTTAGGAAGATGATGAATCTGTGTTAGTAATAAGGGAGTGACTTTTGAAACAGATGGATCCTCTTAAAAATTTTTAATTTCCTTTACATTTATAAGTGCTAATTTTCTTAATACTAATACAGTGCTGTTACTGAAGTAACTTTACTAGTAATTAGGAAAATTGTCTTAACATGGAGGAGACAAAGGGAAAAAATATTCTAAAACTGTATTTGAGTTATAAAAATAACTATGTATTTTAGCAATTCCTATTTGGAGCCTTCAGTTCCTGTATTATTTAAGTTAGTTCTTTTGGAAGATTGTGTGTGTGTAGGCTTTGAGTTGACATAACAGATGCTTGAATTCTCTCTTTCCAAGTTGTGTGCTTTGCAGTAAACATTAAAATGCCTATAGCATCATAAGTGTTAATATTTGGCAGCTCATACTACTGGTGTTCTTATGTTACCAATTTGAACGTGATGGTGATTTTTTTGTGGTGTTGAACAACCTCTTTTACATTTAATTTAACTCCTGTTGGGTATAAATTTAGCAAGTGGTAACATGGCTTAAAAAAGCCATAAATAGATCCAAGTGGCTAAGCAGTGTGGCAGAGAATTTATGCCTTCTGTAGCTGTCTGCACATCAGCAGTGGCCAAGTTTTGGTGGTTTTTTTGTTTTTTTTCATTCTGTGATGGCTCAGTTTTAGTGCATTTGTACCTGAAGACTTGTTCTTACAGGATGAGGGAAGAACCTTCTTGGAGAGAGGGAAAGTCCTTCTTCTAATTGTTAGTATCATATATAAAGAGATGAAAAACCACTCTTGCTATCTCTTATAAGTTTGATATAACTTGATTTCTGTCATTGTCAAACATATCACCATTAGGGAATTGCTACTAAATTTTCTGTGCCTGGTGCTAAGTGAAATTATGATGTTTTTGCTTATTTTCCACCCCACTTTGTGGAGTTTAAGTGCCTTCTAAATTTTGAATGTACTTGGGGTCCCACTTAGGGATGTGTGTATTATATGTGTAAGATAGGGAAAAATGTGATGAGTTGGCATGCATATATTGTAATGGTTTAATTCCTCTAATAGACAAAATGGGATGCTATTGTGCCTTTGAGAATCCTTTGTGGGATATTTGTTCTAAATACAGGATCTGTGCAGAAAAACATGTATAAACCAGGTTTGAGAGTTTTTTTTTTTTTTCTTTCAGGAACAGCAGAAATATGATTTGGGTATTAAGGATAAAGAATTCCTTATAGGCTTTAGTGATAGTAGCAAAACGTGATTCAAAAGCTGACTTGTTCTAAGTGCATTGCTGGCCATTGGGAACTAGGGTGAGGTTGTCTACACTGATGAAAAAATAATTTTGGGGACTCTGGCTCTTAGCTGGCTTAAAAATCACTGAATACTGTTCAGAGAAGAATTAGTCAAGATAAGCCTCTGCAGATAATCTGTTCCTCCCCTCTGTGACTATTTCATATGAGACACTTATAACAATATTAATCTTTTGAAAACTGTCTTTGACTGTATCCTACAGCTAAAGCATCTTAAATTTTTGTAGCTGTCCCCTTTGCTATTTTAGCAGTCAAAGTATACAATTATGTCAGCTTTCTTACCTACATGTAATGAAATTTCTTTATTGTCTAAATGCACATGATTGCTACTGAATTAGCTGATCTGAAATAGGGTGCTTTCTCTTGCTTTTTTGTGACAGCTGATCCTGTAGAATTTTTTAATTTTTTTTTTCTGGCGACTGATTCAGCTGGAGTTTTTTAAAGATTTTACACTAAAGCCTTTCTTTGAAAGGCTTAGCGAGAAAAAGCTAAGCCTTTTCTACTGCATAATCAACAGAGAAGGTTTTTATTTGCAAGATTACTTCTGAATTTGATTAATACCATAGTTTGCTAACACTTTGCTCTTTTGGGGAAAGGAGTGATAGACTCTGGTGCCCTTTAGTACTACTATAGTAGGTAGAGTGGATGAGACTGAAGTGAGATGTGATTTAGGGACATGCTGTTTTAGCCCAGAGGACTTGAGAAGAAATGTGCCTTGTAATGTTATCAAGTGACAGGTGTGGTGGGTTCTTTCTCATAACATTTAATTCAGTGCTCAGGCTGAGATTTCTGCTGGTTTTATGCAGGTGGATGTTTACAAAGTATAAGTAATCCACCTGTAGTGACTGTATTTTTTAAAAACATCCATTTGAAGGCCAAGTGTAAACAAAGACAGCAAATGGACAGATGGCTTCAAACTAAGTAGCTCTTCCCACCTAGGTATTCTAGCTAGTAATGTGATAATAAATTTATCTCATGGGGAAACACTACAGGAATGTGCTCAAACGATAGGCAGTAATAGTGAACATCTTAGGTTGCCCATGCATATCGCTCTGTGTCTGAGCTGGAATTCCTATCAGGAAGATGAAGGTTTGCAACTCTGCCCTTTGCTTTAAGAAAAAACACAAACCCATACAGAGTACAAATGCATCTTCCTCAATGTGCAATTGCTGGATTGCTGTGGAAAGCATAATGTGTATCTAGAACTTTACTTACATTGCAGCTATTATGTACAATAAGATAAAAGCTAGTTAGAAATTTCTACAAGCTTTTCTCTTGAAATTCTTAGCAGCCCCAGTAAACGTGTTTGTTCAGAGTCCTCTGCTTACAATCCTATGTTGTTTTAATTGAGGTGTTTTTTTTTTTTTTTTTTTAAGGAAGCTAACATACAAATGGAAAACATTTTAACTCTTGAAGATAATTCCTTCTCTTTAATTCAGCTAAAGATCAGATCACTGAAAATGAGAGTTTTGTACTTGGATGTTTTTACTGAAGCATGTTAAATGGCCTCTCTCTTCAGCCTCATCTCTTCCTAAAGCTGGCTGTTTGAAAAGCTCTCCAGCATAACTGATGGAGAGATGATTCCACATTTCCCTGCTTGAGTTACACTGAGCACAGATCTGATCTTCTTACAGAAGAACAGAGGAGTAAGTGCTTGCCAGTGATCTCCCAGTAGGCAAATACAGATTGCATACGTGCATTCTGAATTCCAGTAAGGCTGGCTTTTGGTATTCCTTCATCTTCTGCTTGTATAATTCAACAAAGTTTGATTTACTCATCAGCTGGATGAGCAGTCTGTGCTTCAGGCGTTCGCCTGTACCAGCGTAACTGTCTGTACGTCTGCTCAGCCACACGCATGGAAACGGGAATGAGCTGCTGGGAGCAAATACCACTTAAGCTACCACTGCTGCCAGGACATCTGCACAGCTGTAATGTGAATTTACTGATCTAAAGCTTACCTCAAAGTGAGTCACAGAGAATTTAAGAATTAAGAGGGTGCCTTACAAATACGTTTTAAAGACAGGTCTGCAGGAAGAGAGTTCAAAATAACTTTTGTAATATGTATCAAAAAGTTCACCATTTCTGAGGTGATATTTAAAAGTACGGACCTAATTAGAATGCTAAGCCCATGGTATTATCAAACTTTTAGGTGAGTGTAAAATACTTGTATAATAGTGGCTTCTTGTTGCAAATTCAGCATTTAATAGTTCAAATGACTAACTGGCAATGGAAGTTTGAACTGCAAACTTCAACTTGCTGAACTAAACTTTCATAGGAACCCCAAGTATATGTTTCAAGACATTTAGCTTGAGAAGTCCTGGGTGTGAGTTTTGAACTTGAGTTCATTCTGCTTCCCTTAACTGTTTAATGTGAATATTTTAGTGCAGCTTCCATATTGAAAAGGGGGGTGGGGAACAAAAAAACCCCACACCCACAAAAACACAAATCAAGACTTTGTCTAGTCTTGGTTGATTCACAGTGTTTTTCTAGAGAACAAAGAATCACTTAGCAAATATAAAAAAGGAATTAATTAGTCTTTTATTACTAAGGATTAACAACTCTCTCTTTAGGGTGAAAGTTGTACATTTTCTCAAGTAATTAAGTAGCAATTAACTCCTGGTTTAGTTTGGGATTTGTCATATATGTAGGAAGAACTACTGCATGAACTTGGAGCACTAGTGCATTCCCTTGGTCTGTGCTCTTGCCTTCCCAGAAGAATCAGGTAGGCTAATGAGTGCCTCTTAGGAGAGTGATGTTATCTTACATTTATTGTATGCTGGGAACATGCAGTCGGGAGGCTGCAGTTTACTGGCTAACCTGTGGCACACATTAGTGCTCTTTTCCTTCTCCCTCCTGCTTTTACTTCTGCAAAATCTTTTAGCGTCTGTGTGACCCACACAGATACAGAGAGTTTGCAGTTCTGGAGGGTGATATGGGTGGTGGTGTTATTGTGCTGTCATAAGGGCAATCATGGCACATTAGATCATAGCTCTTTCTGCTCATGTTCAGTCAGTGAGGTGCTTTGTTTGTTTACTTGTTTTAAAGCAGCAGTGATTTGGTTGTCCATGAAAGGTCAGAGTCGTAGCTGGTTGTGAGGGAGAATAAACCCAGTGTTTATCTGGTGCTCCTCTGACCAGAGTCTGGAAACTTGCAAAGGACTGGATGTTGTAGGGGGTTTTGTTTATTTAAACATTAGGATTCAGCTTGAGGATCGTTAATGCTTTGCTACCAGGATTATTAAGTGCATATTTAATCATCAGGAAGACCAGCATTTGATGGCTATCCTTCTGTAAAATAATATGGTAGGATTTTTCAAGTCTCTCTGGATTTTTTTTTTTCATGTGCTTATTTTGGAATATTGGGTTTAGTTCTTTAGTAATGAATTACTTATGTTGACTTCAGCTGTGTGGTCTTAACCTTGTGAAGAAAATAGTCTAAATGTGGTGAAATTCAAATTCTTTATTAGCAAAGGAATATTTAACTTTTGTTCAATTGAAAACAATTCTACTGTAGGGTGCTGGTGTCTTAGTAGCAGAAAAGTTTACTGAACTGACTTAGTCCTACTCAAGTATTTTTATTGTATTTACATTTACATACTCCAAAGATTTAAGCAGCGCAAATAAAATGCTTAATACATTTTGCAGTTTTGCTAAGCCTTTAGTAAGGCTTATTCTTGTGATGTAGTTTATGATGAGCAGTCTGAACAAAACATTGGCATTTGTGTATGTGAGTGTTTTCTGCACAAAACTTATTAGGGGCTGGATATAATATCTTATTATCCCAAAGTTGTATCGTGAATCTAAATGTTGTATGAAGGAAAAAAGTGTGGAGCTTATTTGGAGAGGTAAGAGTCACTACTGTGCAGAATTAGGCAGAAGTAGTGTCCCCTCTTTGTGCTGTGTTCAGGGGTGAAGTATGCATCTTAAAGTGCTTTTGTGTTTTGGGACACTGAATACTGTATTTCTCACTTGTGTATAACTATATGTACAGTAGAATTTATATAAATAGAAGCATATTCTGGAGGAAAATACTCTTAGCCCAAAATACCTGTTTTTCAATCTGCCCTGCTGTAATCAACCTGTCCCCTGGATAAAAGTCATCCCTGTCTAAGGAATGCTCTCTCACATCCTCTGTAGAGTAGCATTTGGGAGGGGTCAAGTCTCGTGCTTCTGAAAAGCATAATGCTTATCTTCTGGGCTGCTTTTGTGAGTTCTTCTCTTCCAAAGGCCACTGGAATAACATCAGAAGCACTGAGGCTCCTGAGCACTCTACCGTGCAAGCACCCTGTATCCTCCTAGCTGGGGGGATCTTCTGAGGTGGGAGACAGTGCATGGAGGGAGCTGCGTTCTGGTCATGCGTTTTGTGTCTGTGCCCTAGAACAACCTGTATTTAGGAGGAGGCAGTTAGGCTGTTTGTGCAACTTGGTGAGTCTGTGCTCTGTATGTTTTGGGTTTTTTCTCCGAAGTTCTTGGATGTGGAAACAACATTTTTACTGAAACTTTTTGACTTCTTGGGGAGGGCTTTTGCCATGTAGTCCAGTACAGTGATTTAGTAGATTTTTTTTTTTTTAAGAACTTTTTCAGAGTACATTCATGATTTAGTGGATACTGCTTAAGGTGTAGTTTCACAATACTTTGAACAAATCTGAATTGGCAGCAGCTCCTGGTTCTGCATTTCTGTCATTGGCATTTGTCTGATCTATGTTTCCTAAGCTGGTTTGGAGACCTCAGAGTGGCAGAAAATAATTGAATTTTTCTGGATTAGTTTGGTTGCTTGAACCATCCATCCTGTTGTAGTGCCTAAGAAGAGAGAATGTTGTTGAAAATACAGAGCTTACAGCAGCGTACAAGTTATGAGCATAGAACTTACTGAACCCTTACGGTTCTTCAAATGTAGCAAAGTAGTCCTTTTGAGCAATTTTGTGCTTATGACACCTTTTGGTCGTTGAATAGCACTGTTTAGTGTTGGGAAGAGACAAACCATGATGAGATGTTGTAGCTCCATTCTTCGATCAGTGGGCTTAAAGTCAAGACCTGCAGTAGGTCCCCTTTATCACTCATTCAGCTCATCAGAGTGCTGTAATCAGTTGAAAGTCTTCAGTGTCACAATAAGCCTTGTATTTCCCTCGTGCCTCAGACAAAGCTGGCTGATATGCAGAATTTTTCCTGCAATAGTTCCCTCTACCAGTGTACTGTCATGGTAACTTTTGTAAGATGCAGTGCTTTATAAGATTAAATATGTAGTCCCTGATCCATGAAGGAGTTTGGGCATTTGCATCCTGTTCAAAACAACAGATAGATGGTTTTGTTGATCCACACATCTGAATTGTTAGTTATTTGCTACTTTTACAATTTAACCAGAATTTATAGTTAATTTTATAGAAACTACTTATAAAGAAATATGGTTCTTATTTCAGAGGACCTGAAATACATTTGCAACTGAAGCATATTGCTTTTGTTTTAAACTCTTGTGCATTTTTACATCTCACCAAGCAGCATAAAAAGCTTAGAAATTACACGTGCTACACATGATGAGTTTAAGTCTTATCAAGCACTCAAGGAGTGTGCTCTGTCATTTGAGTAGGTGAATAAAATTAAGAAATAGCAGTGTGAGGCTAGGAGGCATGCAAAAACTATTCCTTCTGTTACTGAATCTGGGGACTGAATGACAAAAAATTGGCTAAAGACTTTTTAAGTGCCAGTCAGTGTTGGTGAAGGAAATGGGGAAAAATTTAATCTGATGCTTTGTTAGCATGAATCTTGAATGTGACTTTCAGAGCGTGTATTGAAAGGTCTTCTGACATCCAGGTGTAGCTTTAGTTCAAGCACTTCTACTTAGGAAAAAGTTATATTCATGAAAAAATTAATGTAAAAATCTGTTGTACCCCATCTGGAGTAGCTAACTACTTCCTTTGTTTCTTTCTAGGAAATATCAAAATAAAGCAGATGTTGTGTCCTGTACTGTTATCTCAAGGTTTTGCACGTCATTCTGTTATGTGCTTCTTGGCAGCAGGAATGTAAACTAATTCTTACAGCACTGAACTAGAACCTTGACAAGGTTACAAATACAGGTAAGAACAAATTCTCCCACTTTGAAATTTGTGGGAACATGTAGTTGCTTTTACTTTGACTTTGTTTTAATTTGCAATTTGTAATTGACTATGGATTAATAGTAATTTCAGAACATGTTAGATAAAATGATATGTTTTTTCTTCTCTAGATGTATTTGAATTTTGTTTAATGCTGTTTTTTAATAGGGAAGAAATATAACTTGAAGTATAGCTTCTTTCTGTTATACAAAGCACTGTTAATTAATTGGGGGGGGAAAAAGTAATAGTTCACCACCTAAAATGTCTGCTGACCCAGATTTTGGGGGAGGTATGTTCTCATACAGAAGACTGTACAGTGTCAGTAAAAAAGTCATGAAGTGTTTTGCCACTTTGGGATCAACTTACTGTCTGCGTGTGGCTTTTTTTCCCCGCAAGGTCTGCATTTCTGTAGGTGCACTGATAGCAACAGCACTGCTTCAATTACCTGTTTTAATCGGTTACAGAAAATCTCTAAATTTCCTTACAAGGTCCCCTGTAGCTTCAACTCTCAAATCACCTTTTCAAGGGTAAAGGTATCTTTTTTCCAGGTCAGTGAAAATGTTTTGGCTGCTGGTTTTTTATCATTAAATTTATCTGACAGTGATGGGAGATAACTGTTTGTCACCTTCTTCTGAACCTGTGTGTAGGGAACTAAAAGTCAATCTTCTTTTTCTCTGACTTCCTTAAAAAAAATATAAATTCAGTGGTATAAAACTATAATAATGGGGAAAAAAAACCCCTATCCTCCACAAATAACTGTGATAGAAATTGCATATTTTGCCTTGTATGTTTCTGAAAGATTTATTTCTGTTTTTAAACAGGGACTATGTGCTTTGAAGATTCTCTGTGAAATAGCTTTATTGCATGTGCCCAATCTGCAGAATCATGATCAAGTGAAGGCCTTCCAGTCTTGATTTTGCATTTTGGTGTCTTTGACAGGGAGAGTGGCTTGCTGCTTGTCAGTAGTGGCAGGCAAGAGTCTGGACTGTTGATATGAAGCAGTCTAATGTGTCCTGCTCTGAAGTTGAATAATGCAGAGGGTCGTAAGTCAGTGACAGGTTTGTGCCAAGGAGGTGGCATTGATTTTTCTTCTACAGTGAAAGATGGGTTCAAACATAGTTTCTTTTGAGGGTTTTTTTGCTAGTGTTGTGTTGATTGAATGTTCATACGTGTCAAAAAAAGGCACAACTCTTCTTGTGCTGTGCCAGTCAGACTTAATTTGAGTGGACCTCTAATACTCATGTAGCCCAACCCTTGTGTCCAGCTTCCTCAGATTTCTGTGTGAATCAAGAAGTCATCCCTCAGTTATGTAAATAAAAGTGTATTGGTTTACTCTGGTTTTGCAGACCTGCTGCAGAGACACTTATTCTGGTCTTTCAGACCTGTTTGGGAACAATTTATTGATCATATGAATTGGTGATTCATTGCTGCCTTATTCTCACCAAAGGTTGTCTGAAACTTTTTGTAAACAAATTGGAGGAGGTAAGAAAAATTATCTGAAATGCCTAAATTTAGAATAAGGGAGGACTCATTCCTAGTAGCGTACTGCTTCATGGTAACGAGTAAAATTCTTCAGTTTTAATGTCGGTAGTGTATTGGATAAACTTGGTTCTTTTTATTCAAAATCTGAGGTGCTATTTCTTTTACAAAAAACTGGCTGCTGTTTGTTAAATTGATGATTAAGAAGGAGCAAACTAAATTTACACTCAAAATGATTGGTCTCTTACTGAATTTAGAGAACCAAACAGTGATTCTGCATAGAAATAAACTTTAGTAGTGAAGGATCACTTTTATAGTAGGTCAGTGCTTTGTAGTATCCAAGGGCCACGTGTGCATCTGTTTTGAACAGCCCAGTAAAGAAGTGAGAACATTTTTATTGGCTAAGGAAATATGAGTGGATGTGGGCAAACAAAAAGAATTTCAGTTAATATCATAGGATGTAAATCTTGTGACAGTACGGTCAGGAGAGATAAGCAGCAGTTCAGTGCAGTCTTTGGTGGTGTAATAAAACCACACTGAGCTGCAGGGTTTGAGTTAAGGACAGAATGTGACTTCAGGGTTAATAAACCTGGACAGGTAATATCTGAATTAACCAGGTAGACCCATTTCACTGAAGTGCCAATGCACCAAATTTCTACTCCAGGAAAATGGTAGAAGAGCATGAATGGTGACTTATGCAGAGCGATCTTGACTCTTTAGCCTTCATTCTGGTCCCATGCAGCTGCTGGCAGCAGTAGTCTGCTTTGCACTGTCTAGGCCCAGCCTTGTTGTGTTGGATGAACCAGCCTGGCTATTTACCTGTCTTATGTACCACTTTTTGTAACTCTGTAAGTCTGATAAACTGTTTGCAGATAGTGAAGGGGATGGAATTTCCCAGACTCTGTAGTGTTTGGAGGAAGTGTTGTTAAAGAAAAACTGAAGCGGTTACCTGAAGACCCAAGATGGGTGACACTAATGAAGACATTGACTACAGTGGAGTCTTTCTTACTGAGAATGCCACTGCAGATTTCTTTAGTTTAAAGTTCCTGGCAATGGTACGATGTGAACTAAGGGCTGTTACAAAAAGTCACACTGGAAAGCACAAAATTTTCTGTAGTTAACTAGGAAAAGCACTGCATTTTTTTAAAGTTTTCGTTTGGCCACAGAACTATGTGAATTTCACTTCTGCAACTTGAATAAGAGGGAACCTGCCTGATGAAGGTTTCCTGACTAAAAAGGCATCAACCTGTGCTCTGATGACTTTGCACTATATGCTGTGATTAGAAAGGTAGATTCAGAGTCCCCTTTCAAGTTTTTTTCCTGAAGTTCATCTTGAGTATCTGAGGTATGATCTCTAACTTTGTATGTACCAAGCTGCATTCCAGAAAAATAAGAAGCCTCAGCATAGAAGTGTGCAGTTCATCCATGAGAGACACATAGCTGCTGCAGTAAGCTGAGCTTGAAGATCTGTAGTTATCTAGCTTCATCCATGTTTTAGTAAGGTACAAGAAAGCAGAATATAAAACTCTGAAAAGACCACAAGCATGTATGTTTTTCTGGTGTTAGCAGCATAGCTGCAAAGGTGCACTCCTGGTGCTCCTTTCTGTTTTTTCAGTCTTTTCTGTTGAAGGTTAGAGCCCCCTTGGATCTGCTGTCTAAGCTCTGGCTTCCAAACCCACTGCAGTCGAAGTGACGAAGTTTCAAAATACTAAAGCTAACTTTGCACTTCTTCAGTGAAACAGTTCAAAGAGTAAGGGCAAAAGCATCTCAGCCAGCAGTTGTGAAAGAAAAGAAATTGCTGGCACAATGTAGTGGTGTGTAGCTGAGGCAGAGCACAAGCGATAATGTTTTCAGGTAGTGGTACTGACGTTGATTATAGATGTGAATCTACAGTGCTAAATTGTGCCCTATGGTGGTTTTGTAGCTCCAGACCAGTTTTTAAAGTAGCTCAAGTACATTCTCAAAGTAATGTACATTCTTTGTAACTTGCTGGTTGAAAAGTAGCGGTAGGGGAAAGTTGTGTTTTGTTTGTCTTTGTTACTGTTTCTTTTTCCCCAACTGTTGTAACAATGGAGATGCTGAAATTAATTTCAAAACTACAGCTGTAGCTTCTAGGCATGTATGCTACTATTTCTTGTGTAAATTGAAGAGGCACAAACCAGTTTCAGAACTGTCTGCAGTGTGTGCAGACACACGTACGGCAGAGAAGTTTGCGTGTACACATAATACACACTAGTGAGGGATTGAAGATGGAGGCAGAGGAGCTTTCTACCAAGACTAAGTTTGTTTTTTTTATTTAAACCAGAGAAGTTATTTCTTCCTGCACTTTCAGTGGATTTTGAAAATGTTTCATAGGTGTGTTGATTATTTATTTGTCATTTACATCTTTAATATCTAGTGCAGCATTTTGTCTGTTGAATCATCATTCTTTTTTTTATAGCAGGAGCACATGTGTTTTGTAACAGGAAACTCTGGCACTGTTTCTTTTCCACGGCACTGACTTATTAAAAATGACTAGCCTGTTGAGTGAATCCTTCTGTGGAAAAGACATTTTACAGCACTCTTTTATGACCTAAACCCAAAAGATTGATGTTGGATATTCTCGTATTATGAAAAGATACATTACTGCCTTTGGGACTGTTGGCCATCAAGGTATTAGTTTAGTTCTGATGTTCTCTTTGAAACTGACATGTGATCTGAAAATTATTTTATAGTATCTATAAAAACTTTGATTGTGGCTTTTAGACCTTTGTAATATAATTATGTGTTGGTTGCTGTTATGGTTTAACTCTATTCAGCAACTGAGCACTACACAACTGCTTGCTCCTCCCTCTCCAAGGGGGGATGGGAAAGCAAATCATAAAAGTGAGACAATTCGTGGGTTGAGATACAGACTTTTTAATGGGGAAGAAAAGGAAGGAAAAAAATAATGTCCTGCCTGTGTATCCTCCCAGCTTCTTGTGCCCCTTCAGGCTTCTTGCTGGCAGGGTACGAGAAGCAGAAAAGTCCTTGACTTAGTATAAACACTACATAGCAACAACTGAAAACATCAGTGTGTTATCTACATTATTCTCATACTGTATCCAAACGCAATTCTATACCAACTGGTAGAAAATTAATTTACTCTATCCCACCTGAAAGCAGGAGAATATCCCCTCCTTATTCTATACCATTTGGATCATACTCAGGTCCCACACTTTCCAATACATCCCAAGTAATCACTGTCACCTTTCTTTTGGTATATACACACAGAAGTTGTTCTGTAATACTATTTCCTATCGGTCTATGGGCCATCCCTCAACAATGTCTGAGTTTATTTTGTTCATTACTTTAAGCTTCATCTGTCATAGCAGGAGAGGTTGTGCGTAGTGTTGGATTGTTTCATGCTAAAGCCATAACTGCTGCACTTGTCTGGTTTTATCACCAAAATTGGTTCTTCATTAATCTGGGTAATTCTACTATAGTACCCTTGATGTTATTTAACAACTGTAATAGTGATGGCT